CTTATATACAATAATTATGTAAAATATATAATGTATTATATTATTATGCAATAGAATAACTTTATTATATCAACATACTGTATTATATAATATGGAAAGAGATATAGCATATATATTAAAATTTTTTTTTTTCAGGAAGAATTTTTTTCTGACTGATCTGCTAAAGACTCCCTACCTTCATTCATTTGCAGAAAACAGGGCAGAAGTGGACAACCTAATTGCTTGAGATAGACTCCATGAACAGATGCTAACTCCTTTCAGTTACATTGGGAAGCGTCTACTCCTATTTCTCACACAAGTATTTCAATTATAAACATTGCCATGCCAGATTCTCAAAGTTAAGTATATGAAACAAAAAAAAAAACAAAAGGAAAAGTCTACCTGGCATTCCTCTGACTCTTCTGCAGTCACTGGAAGAATAGAAGGCTTTGCTGGTAATTTCAATTCATAGGACATTATACTCCACCTGAAAGAAACATAGCACCTTTTAAGTTTCCAGAATGTTTAACCTTTCCTCCACCATATGATGAAAAAGCAAATTCATTGTCACAGCACAGATTAGTTTGTTAAAATAAAAAAAAAAGGGCCGCTCAATTTTCAATTGTAACCTAATTGTGTATGAGTGAAATAATTGAGATTAACAGCAATAACTTGCTTTAGCGCTCAGATTATTTGTTAGTGATTTGATAATGAGCCATATTTGTGAACTAATCATGAAACACTCAGTGCAGGCAACAAAGATTTTCCAGCAAAACTTCCAGAATGTAAAAGAATTGTGCAAAGTAACTGCAGAAGTCAAAGGAAAATGGACTTGTTCCTAGAGAAAATGCTCTAAGGTAACACCAACTTTTCTTATCAACTAGGAGAGGCACACATAAGACCAAACCAGATGGTGAGGAACCTCCACTGACACATCACAGGATCACAGAATGGTTTGGTTTGGACGGGACCTTTAAAGGTCATCTAGTCCAAGCCCCCTGCAGCGTGCAGGGGCATCTTCAACTACTTTAGTTGCTCAGAGTCCCATCCAACCTGACCTTGAATGTCTCCAGGGATGGGACATCTACCACCCCTCTGGGAAATCTATCCCAGTGTTTCACCACCGTTGTTGTAAACACATTTCTTCCTTATAGCTAGTCTAATCTCCCTCTTCTAGTTTAAATCCATTACCTCTTGTCCTGTCACAACAGGCCCTGCTAAAAAGATTGTCCCCATCTTTCACAGTGGCCCCTTTTAAGTACTGGAAGGCCACCACAAGCCCTCACTGGAGCCTCCTCTTCTCCAGGCTGAACAGCCCCAACTCCCTCAGCCTGTCCTCTCAGCAGAGCTGCTCCAGCTCCCCGATCATTTTTGAGGCCCTCTCCTGGACACACTCCAAGAGGTTCACGTCCTTCTTGTGCTGAGGGCTCCAGGGGTGGATGCCGTGCTCCAGGTGGGGTCTCAGCAGAGTGGAGACAGAATCACCTCCCTCGACCTGCTGGCTGTGCCTCTTCTGATGCAGCCTTTCTGGGCTGCCAGCACATGCTGCTCATTCATATCCATTCTCTTCATGCACCAGTACCCCCAGGTCCTTCTGCTCAGGGCTGCTCCCAATCACACCATCTCCCAGTCTGTACTGACACTGAGGATTGCCCCCACCTAGGTGCAGAACCTTGCACTTGGCCTTGTTGATCTTCATGAGGTTTACACGGGCTTACTTCTGAAACTTGTCTAGGTCCCTCTGGATGACATCCCATCCCTCTGTCGAGTCAACTGCCAAACAACGTTTTTCCCCTGGTAAAGAACAACACTCTACAGCACAGACAGAATAGAAACCACTAACAGCAACATCCTTCAAAGCCTGCTGAAAGGAACAAGTAACCACTGCAGGTGGCCTTGGGAGCAAGTCTACTGAAATTAGGACAAAAGATAAAACTAAGCTTTTTTCAGTACAGAAAAAAAGATAAACGTGATTTAATCGACAAATCTTTCAGAATGCCCAGGCCAACAATTATTTCTAAGGATCAGTAACAAGCATTTCTCTACATACTTTGCAGTAAAATGATCAAGTAGTCTTGCAAGTTCTGCAGAAAAGCTTAAAATAAGAAAGGACTTGCTCCTCTATTTCATTAAAAAAAAAACTAAAATAAAATTGCCTTTGAGATCATTCAAGTGTTTATAACTAGAGCAAGAACAGAAACACCCATGAGATAAAGGAACAGACTAAGTAATACTCCTCTCAAAAAGTAGTATTACACCTTCACTGGAACAACATGACCGTCATCTTCTCTGGCTTCTTTTAAAATGGGGATTGCTCTTTTGCTTTATGGATGTAAGCTACACAAAACAAGGATCGGGACGATCTCTTGGTTTTGACTAGGAAAATGCCTCCAACATAAATATTAGTAGTGGATCAAGCCAAAGATCCAGTTGGACCAGCATCCTGTGCACAGGTGACGCCCCAGGAAATTATATGAAGGGTGTAAGAACACGATGCAAGTCCTGCCTACATCCAAGGACAGAGAGCCCAGGTATTTCCTAAATAAAGGTGCTGCCTTTAATGGCATTTGGTGGCATGCATGGGGTCTGTAAAACTGCCCCAAGTGGTTTGGAATCTACACAATTTCTTAATGCTTACAACTTCCTGTCACAGGCAGTTATGCAACTCTGTCAGTTATGCAATAAACTGTCACCTTTTGTTCATCTTTGGACAACACACTTCCTAATTTCATCAACTGCTCTCCCCCCTGACTCTTCAGTTTAGAAACAGGTTGAAGAACTATCCCCATTACTATCACAGCTTCCCTCCTGATCGTGATCTGCACCCTCAAAACCAAAAGCACCGAACACCAAGTCTATAAGACAGATTTAGGCTGTCAGAAACCATAACCCATCAGAAACCAAAAGAAATACAATCTGAATCTCACAGTAAATCATGAACATGGACATTTGGTTTACCTGTCTAACATTTTCGTGCTGGCTCGTTCTAGCTTCTCCAGAATCTGAGGAAGCTGCGTGTCATCATCACAGGATCCTCCCCAGCCAAGGACACGAGCAAGGTCATTTCCAGTGCCCAGGGGCAGCACTCCTAACTGACACTGAAACACAACACAGGAGCAAATCTGCTATTGAAAACTAGAAAGAAAACGTACAAACTATTATAAATGCTGGTTATTTCAAGCAACAAATGCTAATTATGTAGCTGATGTCCAAAGCTTGTCAATCAAACTGTGCAATCCCAATACAACTTGTCCTGTTTGTATCAGTGAAAATTTCCACTTAACAGTAACTATTTGGTTCAGGCCATATACAGAGATATGACAGAACCAAGTGAGGGGGAAAGTAAGCAAACTAAATTAAGTCTGGTCAGTACAGTCCAGGAAAGTAACTGTTCCCACTTGCCTGTTTGTGCAGGCTGAGCTTATCAATTTCTGACAAGACCCAACCAACGCTTCCATCGCCACCACACACAAGAATCCTGAAGTTGTCAAACTTCTGAAATAACCGCAAACTGCAGAGAAAACACAGCCCGTTAGAGCCAGTTCTGGCCCTCCCCAAAAGAGCAATTACATTCATTAGCAGCTGTTACAAGAAAATGTGGTGCATGGCACCCTTATGGTCCTTCTTTTCTTGTTCTAGGGTGTGTGGATATAACCATTTACCCAAAAAACCTATCTGCATCCCACCTATTGCTGTATATTCCACTGATACTCACATTTCTGATAAATAACATGCCAAGTTTTACTTAAAACAATTCCCTTGATATTGTTTTCAGGATTTTATTAATATAATTATATTAATTTAGTTGATATTAAAAAAAAAAAAAGTTAAGCTATGAAATTGCAGCTGCTCTGTGGTTACCACCTCAGCCAGAAGCACGAGGCACCACCAGAGACTTTTCTCAAGAACAGGTTAAGGCACAACGACAGCACAGCCTGGCCTTTGCCAGTGCACAACTACATGATTACAATGTGCACTATCATAATGTACCATATAATGAACAATAATGTAGTTATCATAATAATAACTAAATGCAAGGACCGTCGGAGGCAATTATTATACATAATGTGATCACAGCAATATGAGACAAATAATACGAATATTTCGTATTAGATCTTTAAAGCCATATCCTGCTTGCACTTCCTATGGCTCTTTCTCCTGTTCTCTGAGTTTTAATACCTCCAGGATACAACATTTGGGCAGTGCAGAAAGGGAGGAGAGACAGAACAAAAAGGTGAGAGACAGAGGAAAGGGAGATGAGATGTGAAGAAACAGCCAAGAGGTAAAACCAACAGGGTTTTAAACTTAAAAAAAGACAGAACTGGAAAGCATAAACTCTTAAAATAATAAAGACATTTATTTTTAATGCATGTTATTTTCCAGAATATGTATAATCTCAGAACTATTTCTATAAAGCAACATATTAAGATCACAATTTTTTTCAGGCATTTACATTTTTTTTTAAAGAAAATTATTTCACTTGTTTACGACAGGCAGATACCTATTCAGAACAAAAGATGCAGATATTTAAGAGGAAAAAACTGGTGATACAGCAACAATTTCTCCTACCCTGAGAAAAGGGAGAAAACCCCTTGAAATACACTGTCTTGAAGAATGCAACTCTGCTTTTTAGATCAACTAGAAAAATGAAGACATCCACACGACCTGACAGGAAAAGATAAGGACCTCTCTTTGGAAACTGATTGGAAAAAAAAAATATTTAAAAGCAACCAAACTGCCCCATGATTACTGTGCAAAACCAGAGTGAGCCTCCTAAACCACGCTGCTGTTAGGTACAGCTGTATGCAGCAAGAGAGCTTGCAAACAGACAGACATATTTTTCAGACTGTCCTCTCTCAAAAATTGTGTCTCCAATTAAGAACTTTTATCTGTCATTATAAGTACATGTATCAAATGTTAGCCAAAAGGGACTTAGATTAAATGCATATTATCAGGGTTATAATGAAAAGGATATTACAACTTAAAGAGCTAATATAGTATGTGCATAACACAGTACTAATTATAAAAATCCACAGCTGTATTCCATCGTATTTGTATTATTTACCCACTGTTCGAATTGAAGTTTTGTGCATTTGTTTCATCCACATTTTTACCATGCAAGCCTAATTCTGCATCTTTAAGAGCAAAAAATTAGAGTTTCTAGTTGCTGTAACTGATCTATTAATAGACCATTTAATAACAATGCTACATTTGAGTGGAATTAAGTTAGGCAGCAGAAGAACATGCAGGAATTTATAATCTTTATGAATGTGCAAAGACTCTTGGGTTGCAGCCACTGCCATCTAAATTTCACCCGTGTCTCTCCCACAATCAGCTCCTACATTTTGTTGAATGCTTGATGGTTTTAATTGTGTTCTTACCCCAAATTTTGTGAGATGCTCATTTTCCTGACCATTTGCATATGTTGCCTAAACCATATTTCAAATGCAGTTTTCTGATGACAGACGTTTTAGTGCACTTGTCCATCACCCACTGCAGAGTCCCCCACTGACATTTACACTTATGAAATGGGAGAAAAGCACCCAGGCAACTGTGCATGAAGGCCCTAATTCAGGAAAGCATCTAAACATTTGCCACGGTTTTCAACCTTACCAATTAGCAGAAGTCAAAGCTAGCCAAAAAGCCACGAAACACTTGTGCTGATAGGTTTTGGTTTTGAATTTTCAAGTGAGTTTTTCAAAAAAAGAAAATACTATGCCACAATCTCTTCATACACCAGAATTCATCCTGACATTTTTATCTCTTAGATTTTAATTAGGAAGTCACAATAGAGGCTGGTAGAATTAGCAACAAGGCGTAACACAACACTGTCCCTTGTGCTGAATTCCCCTGGGGAAATGATTGCCCAAGATTTCCAAGGTCATTACCCTAAGTGAGGTCCTCCATTCATTAAATCGAACACCTGAGCTGGATTTAAGGACTGTTTGAATCGCCGAAGGAACTTTACTCCCTGATTGTCTCCACTCTTTGAGTTAACAAAAACTAAAAGAGGACTGGCACAGGATGGCGGGCATGTAGCTTTCCAGAAACCTGTGAACATAGTTAGAAAGAATGAAATAAATAAGGCTTTCTAATATGAACAACGCAAAAAGAAATCATGGGAGAGTGGAAGAAAGGGATGAAGGACAAAAGGAGTACATTTTATCATGCATAATGTAAATGCTAAACTGAATAGTAGCCCTGCAAAGAAAACGTAGTTGCTCAAGATTTACCCGTTCAGTTTTTAATTTACAGTATTTTCAGTACTTAGATTTAGTAAAATCCTGAAGACAATAGTTTTATTGTTTTTCCACAGTGAAAAAGTTTACTAATCTTTTAGCATACTTCTCAAGCCTCATCTTCATGGATTATCACATAATTAAATAGATATTTCAGTTGCAAGTGTTTGACTTTTATCCTGATTTCTCTTTAACCATGCTGGGCTGAACGGACAATCCATGTCTGTGTGTGCATTCTGAGAGTGCTCACAGATGTCACAGTCACACAGGCAGCTGTGCCTAAGGGAGACCTGCAGGGGAACATGAGAACTTACTTCTCACTAACAGAACTAATAGAATCAGTCAACAGCAGACATTCAGCTGTGATCCAAAGCTTATTAAAGTCAGGGCAGGGCTTAACTAATTAGAGCAGCCTTTCTCTCAGGACCTTAGCAAGTAATCTTCATGGACCCTGTTGTCAGTAACATGACCAGTCCATGGTTTCTCAGCAGCATTTCCAAATCAGACACCACAGGTACAGGTTTGACACTTGTTTCAGGCCATGTTAAAAGGACTTCATTATTTTCAATTATTACAAAAATTACTAAAACTACAAATAAAAAATTTGCATTACAGGTTGCTAATTTAATTCCACATTATCACAATGTATAACTTAAAAAATGAGGTTTGGTTAATTTATTTAAATGCTGAGAAAAATAATTCCATGTATGGAAGAATCTTCCTACCATGAGTAATAACCAGCAGCATGACACTCTGGTCCAAGACACCACTTAGCAAGTAAATAGAGTGAATATATACAGCACAAACAATCACTTTTACTAACTTCACACAATAAAACCCATTAAATTGTATTAAAGCTGTTGGTCTACATTTGCTATCAAGACAGACTATAAAGTTAAAGCAGTTAGATTTCATGAGACTCCTTATTAAATCCATTCCCTGCCTTTTAAGTGCACTCTCCCACTGCTGGTGTGTCTGTCCTGAGCCTTCAAAGAGCACCTGAGTTTTGACATTTGCTGGGTTTTTGTCTGTGTGTTACAAGATTCTTATGCTGCTTATATTTTATAGAAAAAAAAATAAACTGGGGGGAGCTATGGAAGCAATTCCTCTCTCTAGCTTGGTACAGTAGTTGTTGTCTCTGAGGCATTCAGGTAGCCTACCTCTGCAGAAAGCAAAGTTATCTAAAATTTGAGAACTCACAGTATGATTGATGCATGCCAGGCAGGGATCAGCCCACTTCATCTGAGGACCCTGGTCATTGGCTTGAAAAGTTTCCAAGGGTCATAAATAAAAATGGAGAAAATTTCTAGTGCAGAACTTTCAAAAACAATTTTAATATCACATCAGTCAAGCCTCTAAAATGCTACGCAGAAAATGTTACTTTTCTCTACATTTGAAGACTGCCTTGACCTGCTCACAGGAGGGTTTTGGCCCTGTTGAGCTATTCAGATCTCACTAGGCATCCAGAGGCACCACTTAACACAGCACCATGCTACGTACCATCCGAGTCTATACTGTTCAGTGCTGTTGGAGGTATGATCGATACCTTGCACTGGCCAAGTGGACATTTACGAGGATATAGGTCTTTACAAGCAGTGTGAACCTGCAAAAGAAACAAAAAATTACTTCCCTACAGTGGAATTTCAGAGTGAAAGTATAATTGATACAGTGTCTACGTAAGAAAAATGGACTAATATCTAACATTTAGGTGTAGAGGGAACATGATCAAGACTGGAAAAAACCCATGCGTGTCCAACCACAAAGGCTCATTCCACAAAACTAAGTTTAGAGTACTTTACCTTCAGCTACACATAGAGCAGATATGAATCATCCTTCCAGGGGAATCACCTACCTCCATCCGTGAGCAAGGGAGGGCCCAATTCCCAGCAGCCAGCACCCGTGCTGGGGCAGCAGGCACCCATGGCTCTGGGCATGCCTGGCCTAGCTGGCTATTTGGGAAGACACTTTGGTATCACACCCACCAAACCAGACCAACCTGCCAAAGGTGGGTCCCACAGCCTACGTGTTGTAGAAGTCTCTTCCATACTTACTGGAAAAACAGGCACACGCAGAGGGTTCTGCCCTTCACATGCATTCCACATCACTTCTGGAGATGCCAATCATTTCCTACTGCCTACACACAAAGCCTCAGACATCTATATGCCAAAAGCTTCAACAGTAAAAAACTTGCTGACTTTCCACTTCTATACCGTAGCATATGAATCCTATCTTTTCAGACATGTTAAACAAAAATTGAGAAGATTGTACTATGGGGAAAGTGCAGTAGTATGTTACAGAATTTCAATCAGCACCTTACAGAGTTTCCTGAAGAAAAGAACTTCAAGATTTTGTAGCAATAAAAACATTACTACAGTAATATTGATACATATTAATATAATCAAAATATTACTACTATTACTAAAGTGTGATTGGAGCAGTATCTATAATAAAAGGGACAAGAAAACACCATGATTATTAGGGGTCCAAAACAGGCATGTGAACCTTCAGTTATCAGCTAGGAGAAGGCAGATAAAGCACATTAGATGACAACAGCTCTTTAAGAAGAGATGCATCTGTGGGTGCACAAAAAATTAACTGGAGCACGTAGGATGGTCACGAGATATGAACATTAGAGAGACCCGAGTTTGCACAAGCTGCCTGCTCCTACTTGCATCCAACATCACAGTTATAAAATGACAGAACAGAAATACTGGTGAGCAATAAAGCTGGCAGAATCCTAGACGCTTGGACAGGGCTCATTGCACCTACCATAGCTTTACACCAAAGGCACTTCCAGTCTTGCAGGCGCAAGACGCTGCCGCAGGTCTTGTCACAGACGGCGCACTTGGCACTGACGGGCAGGTTGCCCTCCAGCCACTGGTGAGGCATAGCTATCTGTGAAGAACCAGTCACAACAGTTAAATACTCCACAGCAGAAATTAGAGGCTTTTGCCTCTCAAATACAGATGAATTTAAACTCTTCCCCACAGCTCTATCCTTTCTTTGAAGAAGCAGGTATGGCTGAGCAGCCACCCAAGGCAACAGCTATGAATGTGGACTGGGGTGGTCCTTCACAAGCTCAGCAGAAAATGTCATAGCTGAGGAAGGCAGGCAAACTATTCATGGTACTATGGTAGCAAAGAACCATGAAACAACGGGGGGCGGTTAAAATTAGAGACTCCTTAATACAAGTATCCATTCACTTAATGTTGACTACATGACACAAACCAATTAAAATAACTATCAATCAGGTCAGGAGATAGGCAGGACAGCAGAACACCTTTGTGGCTTTACATAACCCCTCACCATGGCTGGTAAGTCACAGCTCTATAAATTAGTCCCTAAATGCAGTGCAAAGCTTTACTCAGTGCACTCTTTGTCCCATCAACCCCATGGGCAACTCAGGACACTCAAAGGTGTCCAACTTATCACTACCCTTCTTGGAAGAAGCTTCACGCCAGTGGCACATACATAATTGTGCTTGTCGGAATAACCCATCTAGAACAATAAACTTCTGAAAAGCTTTTGTCATTTCTCTTGCTAATTTTAAAATTCCTGCTTTCATCAGTAAAAAACCTCCCACACGTCAAGTGAATTCCACACAGGCCTCCTGCAGTAGAGCTGTCAGTAAGGAGGACACAAAGCAGGCTGCCAAACCAGCACGGCACCAGGACAAAATACCACCTTTGCTTAGGAGCAGCAGGAACTTCTGGGAGCAGTTCTCCAGCTGCAGAGCTGCTCTGCATGCAGCCTTTAAAAACTTGTAACATGGCTGCAATCTAGTGCCCACAGATACTAAACCTGTCTTGTGAGACAGGAAAGTAACTTTTGTTCTAAATACCACAATAATCTTTGAAAAGTGTTCAGGAACATAGCCACCTACCACCGACTTCAGTGGGTCACATGGGAACATTTCTATCCTTAGGCTTCTTTTTTTTCCCCCATAACTAAAAACAGCTTTGGAAAGTACTGTAAATATTAATAGTACTTACACCATCTTCATCTTCAATGATGTCCTTCCCAATTGAGGCTAAGGTAGTCCACTTGCAGTTGTTTGTTGCTCGGACAGCACACCTTTTATGTGCTTTAAACTTACACACTGGAAGACACACACAGATATGTACTATGTTATTTCCTGAATTTCAGTGTTACATGCCTTTAAAAAAATTAAACACAGACCTTCCACAAAACAGTCACATACGTGTCATTTAGTATTGCACACGTGACACAATCAAATGGAAAGAAAATCCAGCTCCCAATCACTCCAGCTTCAGTACTCTAAACTGGGGTTAACTGCTTAGCTGCAGCCCATGTTAAGTGTGTCCTCAAATCCACATCACTCTCCATTTTTTCAGATGCAATGCAAGGAAATATGGTACAAACAAATCGTTAACTGTGGTTTTGATATTTCTATTCCTTCAGTGACACAGCTCAGATACTTGGTTTCAATTTGCAATTTCAATAGGACAGTGTTTCACAAGTGTCTTGCTTCAGGAGCTGTTTCTTTACTCCAAGGAGCCCTTTTAGGCACCATACTGGGCCTGTTTGCCCAGAAGCTGAGAACGTGAAGGGTTAGGGGGTGATGCAGTTATTGAGGATACTGGTGGTTACAGTACTTTCCAAGAGGTTACATTAAGTGAAGAAAAGCCTGACTTCTTGGCAGATTATTTATTAAAGATCTACTAACTGGAATGCTCAGCACAAGCATGTAGTACAGGCAGACATTCTGACAATCTAATAACTATTTGTATTTTCCCCAATTCAATTAATATGACTAGTTAATGATATAATATTAGACCAAAAAGATTGATGCACCCAACTGTGGGTATTTCTGTTACTGGAAGTGCATGACATCATTCTATTGAGAGTGCATTATATAAATTATTTTGGCAAAGGCCATTAAAGGTTTATGAGAACTAGCCAGAAGACCAGAAGCAGTAGTCTCTTTTCAAACAAGTATTTGACAAGGAGCCTGTCCACCATTAAAAAACATTAAGCCATGGTACAAAAGGTCTGGTGAATCATAAATTTCTCATTTTAATTCCACCGATCCATTGCCAGATCAATTTAAAAATTGAATTGAGACTGTGTAAGCAACATCTGAGTTTGAGAGCAATCCTCACTGTTCTGGGAGAGATGTGAAAGTATGTGCTTAGCTCAAACACAGAAGGAAACAGAAAAAGAAGTTTTGTTGTTTTTAAAGTATATCCCCATGTCATTTACAAGAGCAGAATTCATAGACCTGGAGTGTGCAGCTGTCCCATGTCCCTCAGCTAACAGGGTAGGCTTGCATTTCCAATCACAGTGCCTGTTTGCCAACCTAAGCTGGTCCCAAGTGTCTAAAGAAGTCATCTCTCACAGAAGCACAGGAACAAAGGAAGCATTTTCAAGTGACTCAGAAATGGCAGGCATTTGCTTTGCCACAGGGATCAAAATACAACAAATCCAGGATGAGAGGCATTAGGAAATTCCAAATCCCAAAAGCATAACAAAGGAAGGGAATTTTCAAATCCTGTTGAGCTGAGATTCAACAAGATCTCAGGACCCTGCATTCAACCTCTGCTCTCTCAGCAAGGCACGGACAAATTCAAACCCAGGCTCTGAAGAGCTCACCAAGCCATGCCATGCATGGCAAGCAACAATTCATGTTTGCTTTGTGGGTACAGTATACAACTCACCCAATCTCTTTTTGTAGGTCACCCTCCTGAAGATCCAATATAATCAAACCACAATTCATGTTACTCTGAGCAGTAAACATTACCAAAACCAATGACCTTAAGAGACAGATGTAATTTTCAAGCCAAATACATAGCAGTACAGAAGAGACAGGTATAGAAAGGAAAATTTTAAATCAAATCTCAACCTTAGTTACCACTACTCCCTAATTTCTTTTGCCAGAGGTAACAATGCATCCCACTAATGAACCAGCATGGTATCTGAAATCTTTTGGAAACATGCAAACATACCACTAGATGTCAAATACCACTAGTTCAGCAATGAAAGTTAAAACATGAGTGTCCTGGTTTGGGGTAAAACAGAGCTGGTTCTGCTCAATGATTTTGTGTTTTAGCTGAAGCTCTTCTAATGAACTGCTCTGCCTGAAGTTGGCAGCGTTTTCACAAACTGTCTGATTTTAGCAGTGACAAGACTTCATGTTCAGAGTCACTGCCAGGGGTTGGTGTGCAGACCAAGGCCACTGCTGAGCTTGGATCCCACACAGAGGGGGCAGAAAGTGCCCCACACCTGTGGGGAGGAGCGGGCAGGAGAACTGACCCCAGGATTCCCCAGTGGGGTGTTCCACCCCACAGCTGGCACAGCCAGTGAAGCTGGAGGATGAGGAGGGACAAGCCCCTTCCCTCGCCCCTTCCGTGCTTCTTCTCTTCCCTTCTCCCCTCGGCGGCTGCTGGGCTCTGGCTGCTGCTGCTGCAGTGGCCACATCCGAGGAGGACTCCATCCATCCTGCCTTTGATCCTGAGCCCTGTGTTCCTGAACTGAGCTCCAGAACCCAGCTCCTGTGCCCAGTCCATCTGTGGCCCAGTCCAGCCTGGGACCCTTCCCTGGGGGCTGCCCTGACCCCAAACCACAGCAATGAGAAAGGAAAAATCTTAGCCAAACCAAATCTAAAATATTTGTAGAATCTTATTTTCAATTTTAACTTCCTGTGTAAATATTTCTAGCAGGAATATGAATCAGGTCTCTCAGAAAGCAAACCAAGAGAATCAATTAATTAGCAAACAGTTGTCACAGTGGTACCAGCATCTGCTGTCAAATACAGTGATGAAATCTAGAGCTATTATTATCTATAATAAAGGAAACTCAGCATTACTGAATATTATCATAGGATCTATTGCACTGAAAATATACACATTTGTAACAGAACACTTCTATCTTAAAGGCCTTTTATTCTAACCACCCATCAATTAATTCAACTACATGGGCAGCATATTATTCTTTCTCCCCCAAACTTACCACTCTAACAGCTATTTTATGATGAGTTTTCTCTTCTGTGTTCTTCAAAGAACAACCAGCTCAGACTGTTCTTTTCCAACTTCAAAGGCCAAAGGGAATGTTTTGAAACTGATCTGAGGATTCCTGAGCTGCTATCTAAAGTTTAAGTTGTCAAGGTAGAAGGATTTGATTTCAGGTATTTGAAGAAACGTGCTGTTTTGTTTCCAAGAAGACTGTCACATGAAGGATAGACAATCCACAGTGAAAACAGAGTGACTTGTGAAAATAGGGCAACCTCACTTCACTCCAGTTTGAAGCTTGTCTCTATGTTATAGAGGGTAAAATTCAGGAGTTTCTTGGTAGTTTTTACTCTTTTCACCCAAGTAAGTAACTCTCCAAGTGAATTTAATCTTACAAACAGGCTGCTAAAGAATACTCCTGTTACAAAGTCACGTAACACACAGTTTGGAACACACCAGCTGCATGCAGGCGTGCAGCCCAGCTGCCCAGCCAGCTGCTCTCTGAGCACAGGACCCTCCTCCACTGCACGCAGCGGGCGGCTCCCGGCAAGTGACCTGTGCTGGGCTCTGGTCCCAATGATTTTAACAGGCATTTGCCTTATTTACCAAAAACTGACGAACTGCTACCTTTTAGACACAAATATTGATTTCTTCCTGGCCTTTTAAAATTATTATTATTATTACACTCATCACTACTACAGTTAAGGCCTTTTTTCCCAATACTGTATTCCTTCAATATATCAGTGGCTTCAGAAGAGCTTCTACTGATTTTTGCAGTTATAGAAAACTCAGGTCCCAGATTATAAACAACACACAGCCAGTGATTTGATCAAGAATCTTATATAAGTAATTTCCCTGAGATTACAGAGGGGCACAGAGTGATACAAAGTCACAGGACACAGTTTTCTACTACTCCTTAATTCTGTAACAATGAACATCCCTTCTCTTCCTAACTGCTTCATTCACTACCCAGTCTCCAGCCCGTGAGAATACATGGCACAAATCCTGGAGACAATGGCAACCCAAGCAGTGCATGTACAGTAGCACCCTGTGCAGTGGGTAAGAACAGGGGTTTGTAGGGGAAAAAAACCAAACCAGTCATAACAAAAAAAGACCAAGTGCACTTGCAGAAGCAATTTAATTCAATTGCTTGACTTTACAATCCTAAAGAGTTCTTTTGTGCAATTCATCACAGGAGGAAGCAAATCATTTAAACTGTAGTCTCCAGCTTAGTAGGTACATTTGATATTCAACAATCAAGATTCAGTCATGATAATGAACACACCACATGAAGAAATACGTATTTGAGAATAACCATAAAGGCAGCGTTCCACTGGCAATGACTTGGGATAGAAATAGGGTATTAATACAGAGTAATTGAGGCTAGAGAGCTGTGAAAGAGGTTATGTAGATAACAATCTATATAAAGCCTGGTTTAATATGAAATTACATCTTCAGTTTGATATCCGCATCGATTCGATGACTTCTGAAAAGACCCAAGTTCACACTACAGTACTTTTTCCCCAGCATATTAACATACTTTCCTACACTGGCTTCCACAAAACATACAGGAGTATCTTCAAGGTGGTCTGCAGTTAGTTTAGTCAGCCTTTGCTGAAGGCTACTGTGAGGGAAGGTGTGCTGAAAAAAGAAGGCATCCATCTTATCTCCAAAAGAAATGAAGCTTATTACATGCTCAGAGTGAAAAAACCCACAGTTGTGTAGTGCTGCTGGAGATCAGCAGGTCTAAGAGAATAAAACATTACAGGATTGATCTTCTGAAGTGTCATAAGCTGCAAAATATTAGCAGTGGGATTTATTTTTGTTTTTACCTACAGCTAACAGTCAAGAATCAGACCACAAAAAATAGAGAGACTCTAAGCTACTTTCAAGATAATTTGGCGTGTCAGTGTGAGGAGGAAGAGCTGCAATATCTCTTGAGAAGAAACCTCTCATGCTTCTCAATAGAAGACATAATAAAGTAGCCTGGGATCAATAATCACACAAATAATTGAATTCAGGATATATATAAATGGGTTCCCAGTGTAAAGCAGTGCTAGAGGTTTCAGATGCCAGGCATGAATATTTAAACAGGTTTTTTAAAGATCTAATGAGAAAAAGTAGCACAGAACATGTCTGGGGAATCTTAAGACTCCATACTTCCTACACTGTCTCCTCAAACAGTGTATAAGGCTGACACAGGGTGAGTCAAAAAAATAGATGGCGAAATGCATTAGAAGTGCACGTGGCAGAAGCAAGTAAACATGAACTCTGTCACATAAGAATTTCAGAGAAAGAAGTAGTATCAAACAAAAACACACTTCTTAAATAAAGAATTAAGGATGGCTAACATGGGGTTTTTACAGGTACACAGCATCAGTCAAAGTATGAGTATTCCAGTAAAAGAGTCAGCTGTAAAATGATTTAGATTAGATGCATAATTGAAATTCTCTTTTTCTTTTAAAACATACTTAGAAAAAAAGAAAAGAAAATAGATATGAACTAGCAGATGAGAAGTACAAGGAGGTAATCTTATTAACAGATAGAAGAATAACATAGTGTCTCCATATGTGCCAATCCAGGTCAGACATGTTTATGAAGCTGTGGCTCAGTGAAAGTAAATCCAAACTACTCTCATGAGCCATGTGTAAAAACTGCTGAAAGATAACTGGCATTGGAAATATGGATAAATGGAGCATTAATTTGTAATGACTTATGCAGAAAGGTGACAAAGTCCAAATCTGGATAAGGAAACTTCCTTAATGCATAGTCAACACCAATACCTTGGAAATTAAAACCATGCTTAGAAGCACAATAAGACACTGAAAAAAAAAAACAGGAAAAAAAACTATAATCATTAACACTGATAGACTTGGAAATATAATTCTTACTAAAAAGCTTTTCAAAATAGCTACAATATTAACTTAGGAAAGGAAAGAAGTCCCTCCTTTGCCTGAGCAAATATAACTGTATTTGTACACACAGGCAATACAACTGCCTTTGAGTTAAGCACATGATACTTCCATCTGCCAATATCAGACATCAAAAAGACCATAATTGCCTTAAAACCGTCCAAACGACTTATACACAGTGGAAAACACACAGCAGAGAAGCTGGAAGTAACTATGCTACTCCTAATTTCTACGAAACGGGTTCGTCCCGTTCCTTGGCAACTGCACCATTAGCTACATTAAAAGCATGGACAATTCAGGACAGTGGGTTAATGTTTCCTTCGTGAGATTTCCTTAATACACATTATTATGCTCAGACCTCAAGTACTGTAACAGCATCAATTACAGAAATGCATTTGCAGTGGGGTAACATGCACCCAAACAGTCAAGTTTGGACGGGTGTAACTGCAAATCTTTTCTGGACAGTTATTTTGGTAATTTAATATCTCTGCATTTCATATTTATCATAACATCATACAGAAGCTTTATTTTCTGCTGGGTTCTAACACAAGCAGGCTTGTTACCACTTTTTTACAGAACCTGCATACAATAAATAAGCTGTTTCAGTTTTATTATAAATATTTGTTTGAGAAATACCACTTCTCCAGATAAGCTTAATACTGAAGTCTTAGCCACACCTCCTTCTTTGTGCTAGATTTCATTTGTTGACCCATCAAAATGTAAAGGCATCTACTTCTCACTGCACCAGAGAATTTTTAAAGCACTAAACCTGTCCTCATCTGTCCTGCCTGTACTGCAGCAACAGAGCAAACAAGAATTGGAGTGGAAGAGGTCATAGTGCTGGACAAAGTGCTAGTGAAGAATTTTTATAGATTTGGGGAAGAAACTGCCGTTATGACTCCTTCCCTCAGGAATGCTGAACCTGCAAATCAGTAAGACTATTTTGTTTCACATTTTGATGGGCAAATCAAACAAATCCTATCTTTTCTTTCAAACTGTCTGCCCAGCACATCCCAAACTGTTTGCTGCAGCAGAAGGAACCACCTTATTTAGTTGAGTTAGAAAAAGGCACCTGGAGCATGAAGAAGGTGAGCCAGACCATTAGCAACCCCTCTGCCCAGCAGGAAGTCATTCTACTGAACAGATGTGTCCCTGCAGGCGTTCTCCTTACTCATTACTTCAGCCTCACTGCTCGCTAGCCTGGCAGCCCTCTGCCTGCAGAGCCAGGAGCAGGGGCAGGCGCTGGTTTACCTTCGCAGGACAGGCCGTGGGAGGTGACTCCAGAGAGGCTCTCTCTGCACACGTTGCAGAAGGTGGGTCTGGCGTGGGAGCAGGCGTACCAGTTATGCATCCCTGAGAAATGTTCCACATTAAACTGTGCGGTCTAGTAAAGGAGAAGTTAAGACAAATTTGCAAGTACAGAAAACAGCTACGGTGACTAAAATTCCCTACGGCTCCTCAGGAGAGGGGACAGCAATGCAACGTCCAGCACAAGCATCTCCCAAAGGGTACTTAGCCACCTCTCCCTCCACGCTTCTAAACAAAAGGGTGGCAATAAGCTCTCACCTCACTAGTCAAGGTATTAACGTGAAACTTTGCTCTGACATTAGACACCCCTTCCACACCAAGGAGGGTGAACACTCCAGCTGTGTGTCCTACAGTTAGATCTCTTGAGCTAGAACAGGCTGCACCAAGAAGGATGTCAACTTACCTCATAGTGTTCTCTGGACTGAACGGACTTCAGAGAGCTTATCCAGTCCTCCATTTCTTTTCTGTTCTCAGCACACAATATTAGCCTCCTAAATGGAGTTATTATCTGAAAAAGATAATGCATTATGATTAATCCAGATAGTAATTATCATGATAGATTATGATAGTTAATGTCCTCTTTCCTATGAGATGATGCAAAAGGAAGATATGCCTTACATCACAAGACATTGAATGCTGAAAAATATTTTCTTTAAGACACTAACAACAACAAAAGAGTTTGCTTTTCTTTTTTTAGGTTCAAAGATTTAAATCTGGCATTGGTATAGGTCTTTACAATCTATATTGATCATTCCTCCTTCTCATCTCTTTGTCTAAGCACTGAGATTTAAATACTCAAATGGCAGGCACTGAAAGTGCTATAACAACCCCTCTGGAAAACACTAATTGACCAGGATTGCAGTCTTACTTCACAACAGCATTACAGCAACTGCAAGGTCCATTCCAATTGCTAGAGACAAAAACATATCCAAATCAAAAGTCTGGCAGTCTTAGGCAAAACCAAAAGCTTTCAACATATTTATCTGTCTTGTACATTGATATTAAATTGACACAAATTTAAACATACATAAATTTAAAACAGAACTTTCTATATAAAACTCAGTATAAAAACAAACATAAATCTTTAGAAAAAGACACAGAGAAGCAAACAGCTGAAATCATATCCTACTAGGATGGCTGAATGAATTCCTAGAACAAGTTGATGCTGGGGAGTTTTCAGTGGTCTGGAGTTGGATTCTAAAAATCTGAAAATGCTGTATCTAGAAGGTTCAGAGTATAAGCTGTTTTCCCCTCTCCCTCATCAGTAGAAAAATAATTAAAATAACAGGAAGGCATCAGAAACTATCAGCGAACTCCCACTGAAATTATTTTGAGCACTGCACTAAAATAGATGAAGCAGTTACTTACATAGCAAAGAATTTAAAACAAAGTAAGTACATGGAATTAGAGGAAAGTTATTTGGTTTGCTGTAGGAAGTCTGAAAAATAAAATTAAATCCTTTATCAGTCTTATGCAGAAATCTATTGCACAGTATGCACCATCCACACTTGTGAATTCAGTAAAACAAAGAAAGGACCACCAAAAATTTACACCTCTGAGTACAGTTTTAAATGCTATAGGCTAGATATTGTAACATTTGCACAATATTACTAAGCACATATCCAAAGCAGCATTCACTTACCCAGTCTCTGCTGTAAATAGTCTCTAGCCTTGATTTGTCCTATCCACTTGTTCGTTAAACTGAGCTGCACTTTAACATATCTCAGAGGCAATGCAACTGAAGTGCAGCAAGCTGCAAGTCACATGGAGGGGAGGCAAAAACCCTCTGGGCCTGCCTTTTTTTTTTTCCAGTGGTACTCACGTGCCACGGGATGGAATCATTTCTCTGTTTTCTATTTCCTTCAATCCTGCTCAAGCTTTTTAATAAGGTTTATTAGTGGCTCTCCGTGGCCCTTCCTGAAGAACAGTCACTGCAAAGAGCAATGCTTCTCTCGTTACTTTGGAGCCACACAGACGCTTCATCACTGCAAAATGTTCTTCTAGGCCAGGTCATCAAGTGAAGCCCAGAAAAGCCATTAAATCATAATATTACCCTGGCTCCAGAAACAATCAGCATTTTGCTGGAATTTCCAGCTTTCAGTGGACTCAGAAATCTTATTTGGGCCACTACACCCACCGGATCACTTCCTCTCATATAGCATGACATTATAATATGGATCAAGTAAGGACAAATCCACCCAAACCCTGCACCTTGCATCCATCCTTCCCCCATTCACCACTGCTGATGCTAACCTGTAACCAGATGCTGTGAAATGCCATTCAGCAAGAACAGCTGCATTTATTGCTGAAAACTGACAATCTTGATCTTTTCAAGTAATATTTATTTATATTACTCATGTCTTTAATACCACTGAGCACAGAAATCCCCTGTGCACCCCCCACTGCCCCCTCCCAAAATCAATGCCTTCGCTCAGTTGTTCACATGTGGTTATCTGGTGCCAATGGAGATGCCCTTTGGTATCTGCAGTATTGGCAGGGGACAGGTAAATATGACAGATGCCCATAGCACCCAGAACAGCAGCTAAAAAAAAAGCCAGGTGGGTCATCCAAGGCCATCTCAAAAGGTGTTTATGTACTGGTAAGGTGTACCATGTACTGGTAACTAAATCACATCACCAAATATTGCTGGCTAATGCATCTAAACATACCAGAAAGTCCTATATCCCAGCTTCTTATTAAATTCAGATCATAATAAATTTAATGTAGAGCATAAAACCCCCGAGCACCTCAACAGTCTAGAAGTTAAATTATATACTGAAGAACACGTGAATGTAGGATCAGTTATTAGCAGTGCTATAAAAATGAAGTGGAAAGTTGGAGGAGATACGTATTTGTAAATACAGCATCTATAACATGATGACTAAACTGTAGGTTCTCTTTGATTTACATACTTTTAACAACAAACTTCAAGAAGGTATATGATAACATAAAAAAATCCAAAATGCATTATATGCAAAAAATGTTAGCAATGTTTGGATTTTTTTGTTAAACAAGGAAAAAGAAGAGAAAGTAAGCAGTCCTTTTAGGTTCTCATCTACTTCAACCTACAAAATCATGGAGAAAATGTACTCTCATTACTTGCTAGATATTTCACATAACACAAGAATCAGGGAACCAAGGAAATTGTTAGCCATCGACAAGAAGTGGTTTTTTCCTAAATCTAGCAGTTTTTAGGCTTGAAAACAAATCCCAAAGGATGTTGAGAAGACCGTAAGTATAAATGTCTAAGAACATACTTGACAAATTCATCAGGAAGAGATGCATCACAGACTGTAACACACAATTCTCAAAACCTTTAGCAAGTCCTCAAAATCCAGCGAGTGAATGTTGTGAAGTTACACAAGTGGGAGCCTCACTGTCCAAGCTCTGCTGTTGACAGGTCTTTCCTGAGAGCCTGCTACTGCTATTCTGCTGCCTCGATTCAGTATGGCTCCAGGGTTTTATGCTAACTCAGTCTACTTGTTCTTGCTCGTCCTGAGCTCAGAGTGACCTCCTGTACCTCACCTGCATCTCCACAGAAGGCATGCTGTCTCATGGGTGCTTACAGAATTTCTGACTAACTGACTTAAGTGGCATGTTCAGAGGGTCCTCATTAAAGACAACTGAACCCGTACACAGGCACAAGCAAAATTAAAATGGATTTCATTGACCTTAAAACTATTTTCCAGCCATGTCAATTTGGATCTTAATCGTAATCCTATCTCATTGCATGTAGCTATATTCAAAGTCCTGTATCTTTTCTTCTACTGACCAGCACGAGGATCTTTTTTTTTTATACTACATTACCTTTTTTACAAATTAATGCTTTCTGTCCCAAATACTATTATTTATATATCACTCTGAATATGCTACACTCTCAACAGACATAATTGTGTAATACAATGATAAAGGAAGTGCCAGAGGAACCACTGGAAGACCACTGAGGTAACACCAGAGTAAGAAAACTCCTGTATCTTGGAGGAACTCAGGTGCTAATGGTTCACATGCTGACAAAGCAGAAGACAAATCAAGAAGGATGAAGACAGAAAAAAGGCCTTAAAAATAAATAAATCAAGCAGATTTAATTTAGAAGATTAAGTTACTTTGAAAATTTTCATTGCTGTCAAGCAGCCAGGAAGAAGTCATTGCTGGTTTTGGAAGAGAAAAGTTATCGAAGCCAGATACTGCAGTATACTGGAAAGTAACAAAATTGAGATACTGAGAATAAAAAACACTTTTAACATAGTAGGTATAAGGGAAGAGTGAGCATACAAAGTCTTAAAAGTTGAAGGTGAACAACACAAGTCCTAAAACTTCATAGGGAATAAAGAATGTTTGGATAGGAAGAAAAATGGCCCACTGCTGTGTTAATATTCCTGTTCTGTGCAGAAAAACAGGGGACCTCTTGAGCTGGGAATGAAGGAATGAACAAGAGGACATTGCTCAGTCTGCCATCACATAGGTCTTGCCATGAACTTGGATTTTCACACATGCTGACACTAAGATAATTTGGCTTCTGAAAATATACACATACTCATATATATATGCACACACACATCTGGAGATGACTCTGAGGAAAAATACATAGTCAAGTTTTGGGCCACTACTGCAACTCTTCTTTCAGACAGCATCCATTAATAGCAAGCTTAACACCCTGAAAGGAAATAAAACTGGCATTAAATTCAGTGTAAGTTTAAAAGCATCTTTCACTTTCAAAGGGGCTAACTTTACTGGTAACATTCTATATACCTTCAACACAATGGGTTTAGCCTTATAACCTACAAAATGAAATCACTGAGAGTTCAGTTAAAGCCTACTGCCTAATTTTTAACATATTTTATCATATCAGCAATACATAAGAAAAGTTTCCAAAGCTTAGTGGCTACATTTCTGCTTTACTTATTCAAAGAAAAATGCAGACACTACTACATTTGCTAATCAAGAAAATTATGGTCTACATTTAAGCAGCATCACAGCTGCTATTGTGAAGCACCCTGCTTCCTGCAACATGATATTTGCATTAAGGCACCTTCTGGGGCCCTAAAGTATTATCAGGCATTACACTAATAGCACTTTGTGTGGCCAATCTTGAATTGACTTAGTAATGTAGAAACATCACTTAGAACCTGAAACGGGCAGGGAAACAGTCTTCCTGTTCTTTGGACAGATATTTTTAAAAAACCCTTCTGGAGTAATGAAGAGAAGGAGATACAAAGAGAGAGAGAGAGAGAGCGCGAGAGCAAGTGCACCCTTACCTCTCCACTTAGGGACTGTACCTGATGCCTGGGGTATGAACATAATAGATTTCATGTTTTCTAACTCCTCTGTGCTTTTAGAGTTCTGACAAATACTAGGAAAACAAGTTATGTCTCCCTTGCTCTCCATCTGCCCCTCCATTTCCCTGTCCTCGTGCAGATGGGCCCACAGGACCGTGACGGATGGATGCACCTCCCCCACAGTGGTGGGACTCAGCTGCTGGGGGCATTGATGCTCCCGGACCCACCAGAA